GCCGTAGATGGATATTCCATTAGCATAATCACAGAGGAGATGGAGGCAATTTATTCTGGCGTGAAACTGTCGGCGCCTGTAGTTCAATATAGAGACTACGCGTGGAGAACATCCAAAGTCTTTTACGAAGAACAACTAATTAAGTGGAAAGAGAAGTTAAACAATAGGGAGTTCCAGTTGCTCCCAACTGATAGACCTCGCGCAGCCAAAAGAACATGCAGTGGATCTTCATTCACTAAGATTGTGCCACCGTATTTGCAACAATGCTTGCGTGATTTGCAGAAAGAGACCAGCTGTACTGAGTTCTGCATTTTAGTAGCCATTTACAAATTTCTTATCTTTAAAACCACTGGTATCGCAGAATTTCCTATCGGATTCCCATCGTCAATGCGTGACATGCTGTTCCAAAAAACAGTTGGATGTTTCATAAACACAATACCGTTACTTGGAGAAGTTTACTCTTCGGCTACCATTATCGAATACTTGGCAAGCGTCTCCAGTGCGATATCTGAAGCAAGAAACAGCCATATCCCCTTTGATGTACTTGTAAGTGAACTGAATTTGGAAAGAGATGATGGGGTCACACCCCTTTTTCAAGTTATGCTCGTAGCAGATAAAGTACAAAAACCTCTGAAAGAAAGTGGAATAACGTTTCTTGAGCTACCCACTCGTTTTTCAAAATACGAGCAAATTTGGTATTTCCGTTATGATGGGGAATCTCTGCGCATCATAGTTGAATATAACTGCAGGTTATTCTTAGAGAACACTATAGTTGACTTAGTTAATCGGTTCTTGTACATTCTACAAGAATTCGGAAGGTCATCATCTGCTCTGAGATTGAATGAAGTTACGCTCACCACGAAAAGCGAAGTGAATGCGATCCTCAGGAAGAAAGCCGCCCACGTATGCGATATTCCACCCATAGTTGTACCACAAATGATGCAGGAGAACTTATTTACACAAAGTACAATATTATCTTGTGGGCAGAATATGAGCTATGCTAAACTCGACAAGCGTAGTTCTCAATTAGCCCTTCAAATTGCCAATATGTATTGTATCCATTATGGTGAACTACCATCTAGAGACAGATGTGGAGCAGTTTTTATGGATAGAAGCCTCGATTTGCTAGTGGTAGTTTTCGCAATATGGAAATGCGGCCTACAAGTTGTTCCCTTCAGTCTGGATTGGCCTGTGCGGAGAGCTTTGGAAACAATGAGGATGTTCAAAAATCCCATCCTCGTTACGACAGGGTTTGAAGAGGTGGCCAGATCGACAGCAAATAATCTGTATCCAGTATTCCAAACATTCAACTATAATACTTCCCATGTGATAACGCGGAATTTGATTGATGTCTCAGATTTAGCCTATATCACCTGCACTTCAGGGACGACGGGTATTCCTAAATTGGTCTGTACAGAATTCTCAGGGCACTGCAACCTTGTGGTAGGTTATACTAAAAATTTCAACATCAACCACACTTCCTGCATTTACCAAGTAGTGAACTACGGTTTTGACATATTCTTTGCGGACCTATCCAAAACGCTTGCAAATGGAGCCTCAATGATTTTAGCTAGTGAGCTGATTCCAAAGATTGACGAAATGCAGGATGTTACGAATGCATACATCATGCCTGCTTATTTGTCCTCATTGTCTTTTTCGGATATTAAAAGAATGAATTTTCTAGAATCAGTGCAGTTTGGCGGAGAAGCAATACAAACCAATGCTTTGGAGCATTTGCTCCAAACAGATATTCATCTTTACCAAGAGCATGGAGTTACAGAACAAACTGTCTTTACCACTGCGAATAGAATGAAACAATGCACTCCAATTTCCGAAATTGGGAAACCATACAGTAATTTGTACCTGCTTACAAGGGATTCCGATGGTCAGATTTTGCCAGAAAAGTATCAGGGAGTATGTTACGTTACAGGATTGGGCATCACAAGAGGTTATTATGGCATGCCTGCTTTGAATTGTGCAACGATAAGCTACGGACTATTCGGCAAAGAATTCAAGACTGGTGATATCGCCAAATATCAACATGGTCGATTACACTTTGTGGGGCGCGCTGATCTCCAAGTCAAGATTAGAGGAAAGGTCGTGGATTTGAATGAGGTAAATACCCAATTCAAACACTTTTTAAA